CTCTCCACTCACCCGGGACCGATCACGCACGCGCGCGCGCGCGCCCGGCACCGCCCCACCGCCCCGCCACGCTCCTCGATCAGCACCCAGGACAGCGCCACACGCCCGCGTCAGTGGCAGGGCCATCGCCTCGGTGTCTCCTGGGAGGGTCCTGTCCAGCTGATGAGCAGGTAAGGAGATGCTGGGACCCCCTTTCTAAGCCCCATTTTCCATCCTATCCCTAGAGGAACGGGGTGTGTTGTGTTGTGGGGGGACCATAGGTGGAACCAACAGAGGGCGTGGGACTGCTGGAACCTGAAACATTGAGATTGGGATTTAGACAGGTGTAGGGACAAAGAGCCAGAGGGGAGGGAGGAATGAGCAGGGGGCGAGAGTGAGTGACCCCGGGAGACAGAGACCAGACAACAGGGAGAGGGCAAGGGAGACACAGGGGGAGCGGCGAGACGCCGAAGGGGGTACAGACAGAAGCAGGGAGTCAAGAAGGAGTAGTGGACCAAGGCGGTCCACAAGGACAGGTGTGAAGAAATTGCTCGGGATGTGTGGGAGAGACAAGCATGCGGAGAAGAATGTGGGGGTCCAGCAGAGGCAGCAGGACAGCCTCCCACATTCCCTGCAAGAATGCGAATGGAGGGACTCCCGAGTTCCCTCCCGGGGCCCGATGTGGATGGAGGGAGGAGCCAGCTCTGGGCGCCTAGACCGACTGGCAAGGCTGCCCCTACCCACCCTCGCTCGTCCCTGGATCCGGGTCTGGCGTCCCAGGCCCGACAGAGCACAGAGCCAGTTCTCCCTGCCGGGGCTTGGCTTGCATGAGCAGCCCTGCCCGTTGTCGTGGCAACAGGCCATTGCCAGGGCAACCAGCGTGGCTCCCACCCCGCCGGAGCAGAGCCGGGCGTTGCTCTGGGAAACTCAGTGCGCCGGTTCCCTCACTCGCCTTTGCCCACTTCCGGTTCAGGCCCGGGGGAGGGGCAAGGAAAAAGCAGACGTCAGCGGGATTCCTGCGGGGGCCTCAGGAGGAGGGGTCGTCCCTTTAAGATGGAACTAGGTCCTGGAACGCACTCCCAGCGCGCGGCCTTCGTCGTGGAGGATGAAACTACAACCCCCAGTATGCCTCGCGGAGGCTGGCCGCCTCCTCTGCGACCGGTCGCCCAGGATGCTGATGGGAGTTGGAGTTCTTTGTTGTTGGGAGGGCTCAATGGTGGCACGGGTTGGGCGTGGGGGGCTAGGGCGCTTGGCTGCCTCTGCAGAAAGGACCATAGGACCCCGCCGCCATGTTTCCGGAGCCCCCAACCCCGGGGCCTCCAGCTCGCGACGCGCTTCCGGACTCGAGCCGCATCAGCCAGCTCCCTGGTGAGCCAGACCCGGTGCCGGGGCGGAGGGAAAGCCCGGCCAGGATTACCTGGGGCGGGATTCGGATGGGTGTACTGAGCTGGCGGGCTGGAAAATCCGGGTGGCATCGTAGTCGGTGTTATGAACTGGAATCTAAATAAAATGGAAAATGAACAGGTTTGCAACAAAAACAAGAACCAGATCAAGGGGTGTGGAATGGATTGGAACCGTGGATTGGGGAACTGGAAGGCCCACTTCTCTCTTCTTTTAAAGATAGGGCAACTGAGGCCCAGGGAGGGGTTAAGAGCATCAGAAGTTGAGCCAAAAAATTAGAATGGGGTGGAAGTGATAGGCAAGAAAATCTGGATGGTGTCAGCCTGGATTAGGGCATCAATTCGCTCTATAGGTGAGATCAGTTGGAAGAAAAACACTGGAATACAATGGATGGATATGGCTGGAGGGAAAACAAGGCCAGGATTTCAGTTTCCCCATGTCAGTCGGACTGAACCAGCCAGCTTGCTTCTTAGGGCCTCAATGTCTGTTGTTTCCATGCCCTCTGCAGTGCCCCCCTGGGCCCTAGCCACAATCGTACTGGTCTCAGGCCTCCTTGTCTTCAGCTGCTGTTTCTGTCTCTGCCGGAAGCGCTGTCGGAGACGGATGGGAAAGAAGAGCCAGGCCCAAGCCCAGGTCCACCTTCAGGAAGTGAAGGAGCTGGGCCGGAGTTACATAGACAAGGTGTGGCCTGGCTCAGCCCCTTCCTGCACCCCTGCTCTTCTCCATAGCCCAGCAACCCCAGTCCTTGCTCCCTTCCCCTCTCCACCCACCTTACTTGCCCATCTCCCCTATGTGTCTAGCCCCAAACTGGACCCTGGGGACCTGGAGATAAACCAGATCTACTCACTGTTCACAAGAACCTTCCAGCTTGGTGGGGAAGTCAGATATGCACACAGACATTTAAACACAGGGTGGCATGTGATACATTAGAGGCAGGACAGGACATACGGAGATGTAGAGAAGCTACCTGACTGCCTAGAGGGTCCCAGAAAGCTTCGCGGTGTAGGTGACACACACAGTTAACCAAGAGCAGAGAGAAAGACATTCTAACTCAAAGGAAGTGCATGTGCTGAGGCCTGGAATCCAGGTTCTGAGGCATATTTGGAAAACAAAGAGTCATTTCCACAATGGCTGGGGCATAGAGCACAGATACACTACGCTTTAGAGTGAGGCGACTGAACACCCATCAATGTCCACATAATGAGGGCAACTGGGAGCCACAGAAGAGTTTTGAGCAAGAGAGGACAGTGTCAGTCAGATGGGTGTTAGGATGAACCCTCTTGAACCCATGTGGAGGACAGACCTAGGACAAGGAGATCAGGGAGGAGGTCGTATAGCATCCCTGATAAGATGGAGGAACTACGAGTTGTAAGAGGCAACTGGAATGGAAAATCAAAGTTTTCAGGTACAAGGATCTGAATGTTAGGTCTCTGAATACAGAGTGAAATAATGCTCACCTGGGAGTCAGGGAGCCCTGGGTCTCCAACTCAGAAAAGCCAGCTGTGTAACCTCAGAGAGGGTAATTCACTGTCCTTCTCTGAGCCTCAAGTTCGTGGTCCATAACTAGTATTACCCCTCCTCCCTTGTCAACAAATAGCTGTTATAATTCTTACTCCTAGAGGGTGCCCTTTTTGAGTTCTGGTGTCCAGTCTCCATCCCCACCCTTAAGCCAGTGACATTCAAAGACCACCTGCAACAGAATCACCTCTAGTATTTGAAATACAAATTCTGGATCTTGCACCAAACCTACTGAATCAGAATTTCTGAGGTGAAGGAATTTTACCGCACTACCCAGGGGAATTCTGATTCACATTAAATTTTGAAAATTGGTGGCTTAGGTTAAGGAGAAGTCTTCTGAATTTGTTGTTTTAGTTTAGAATGACAAATACACAGTAAATATGCCATTTTTCCTCCGTATTTTGCTGTGACAAAATCACCAATCAACGTAGCAATTTGCATAACCACCCCAATACATCCATTAGCATGTGAAATAAAATCTCCTGCCTCCTTTCTGAAGGCAATGAGACACTATCCTGCTTGTTTTTCTTGTCCAGGCATGGCTACCTGTCACCACATCTATTCCCCAACCATAGCAGACATCACTAATCAAACGCTGACTCTGCTTAGCCTGCAAGTGCTCAGGTTTAGCTGAGGGATGTGTGAGCCTCTCTTGGCTTCTGGGCCTGGAGGGTAATACCCTCAGGAAGAGTTCACCTACCCTTGCTCCTGCCTCCCTAAGGTGCAGCCAGAAGTGGAGGAACTAGAGCCAACACTATCCGGACCAGGGCAGCAGGTGGCAGAGAAGAATGAGCTAGGACGACTGCAGTACTCACTGGATTATGATTTCCAGAGTGGCCAGGTGGGTGTGGAGGAGGGGCGGAGACTTTGGAGGGGAGGGTCCAGGAGGGTCCAGAAGGGAAGTTAAGACTAGGGGTCCCTCATCACTGTACAGCTGTTGGTGGGCATCCTGCAAGCCCAGGGATTGGCAGCCTTGGACCTGGGTGGCTCTTCAGACCCCTACGTGCGGGTTTACCTGCTGCCAGACAAGCGGAGGCGGCATGAGACCAAGGTGCATCGGCAGACGCTGAACCCACACTTTGGAGAAACCTTTGCGTTCAAGGTAAGCATCTAGCCTCAGTGCCCCACACTGGGCAGCCTGCCTCCAACCCCTAGAGCACTGGGGACTGGCCCCTTCATCTTTTTCTAGAGTCTGCCATAGCTCAGGCGGCAGCTACCAGCTCTGGGTACTTCCACTGGCTCCTATGTTGTCTCTTTGGGGTACTACAGACCCCTGGGCTGTACCCTTGGTCCTTGGGTTGTACCATTTGTCCTCCAAGGACCCCCCAAACTGTTCCCTGCACCCCTCGCTGCTCCACTCCTCACCTTACACCCGAACATGCCGTGCCCCACTTCCTCTCTGATTCCCTACTCTCCATCTTGTGGTCTTTCTGCGCAATCCCCCCACCCAGGTACCCTACGTGGAGCTGGGGGGCAGGATACTGGTCATGGCGGTGTACGACTTCGACCGCTTCTCCCGCAACGATGCCATCGGGGAGGTGCGGGTCGCCATGAGCTCTGTGGACTTGGGGAGGCCAGTGCTGTCCTGGCGGGAGCTGCAGGCGACTCCGCGAGAGGAGGTGAGCACGTGTGGCCCCGCATCTGCAGCTGGGCCCGCCCACCGCACTCCAGGCCAGTCAGATCACAGGCCTTCCGGAGCCCCACCCCCACCCCCCCACCCCCGGGCTCCAGCCATTCTACCTGCTGCACAGGGGTACCCTCTTGGATTGTACCACTGGGGTCTTAACTCTGGACCTTACCATTCCAAGGCGAGGGGAAGGGAAGAAGGGTCGCAAAGGGATTGGATGTGCTGTGGGGGCTGTAGTTATGGGTCTCTCTCCACCTTTTAGCAGGAGAAACTAGGAGATATCTGCTTCTCCCTCCGCTATGTCCCCACTGCCGGGAAGCTCACTGTCATCGTCCTGGAGGCCAAAAACCTGAAGAAGATGGATGTAGGAGGGCTGTCAGGTGTGCAAGAAACAAGGAAATGGTGGGATGGTGGTGGTGGTGGTGGTGGTGGTGCAGGTGCAGGAGGGACCTCTGGCTAAGGTTGACAGTTTCTCAGCCCAAGGGTCCCTTGGGGGAGAGGGAGGTCCAGGTTACCATGGGAGGATGTAGATTCCATTTGGGCACAGACCAGAGGAGACGTAAGGGGTGCATGGGGTGTCTCTGTTACAAATAAGAGTCTCGTGCCTTCCCCTCAACCTGAGTCCCCTGGACTCAGCAGTGAGCAGCTGTAAGACTCCTGCTCCCTCTGCCCAGATCCGTATGTCAAGGTCCACCTGCTGCAGGGAGGCAAAAAAGTGCGGAAGAAGAAAACGACCATCAAGAAGAACACTCTGAACCCATATTACAACGAGGCCTTTAGCTTCGAGGTGCCCTGTGACCAGGTCCAGGTGAGCTCTGGCCTGCGGGTAGCCCAGCCAGAACAGCCCCTGCCCTAGAGCCCCAGATCGTTAGAACCCCCCGTGGCTAGGTGAAGGGAGACTCCTTAGCTACCGCTAGAAGCCAGGGCCTAGGGCTCAGTGGTTGTGTTCTCAGTTTCCTTCTATGAGGACCAGGTTGCCCCACCCCTTAAGCAAGACCAGGGTGGCCCAACCCCAAGCAAGATCTGGATGCCCCGCCTGCTCAGGAGCCATGGTTACTAAGAAAAAGAGACTTTCCCACAACCCTTTAGGGACAGGCTGCTCCATCCACCTAAGAGTCCTGGAGATTGCCCCCGCCCCCCCTCAGGTGGCTGCTCCCTAAGGAGGCTCCTAACAACCCCTTAGCAAGGGGTCCTGAGGGTTTCTGCATGGGCAATCTGATTGCACAGGAAGAAAGACAGCACAGCACCCTTCTAAACACAAGCCTCTTCCCACCTCACCTCCCACCTCCTCCCAGTCTGAACTCCAGGTGGGTTTTGGCCTAGGGCCCTAGCAAGGCCCCCCAGGACTCCACAAGGGAGGGACCCTCCTTAGTAATGCTACTGGAGCCACTCCTGGTGCCTCTGTGTCCCATTCTCCCATGTCCTCTTCCTCCTTCGCCCACCCAGAAGGTCCAGGTGGAGCTGACCGTGCTGGACTATGACAAGCTGGGCAAGAACGAGGCCATTGGGAGGGTGGCCGTAGGGGCAGCGGTTGGTGGAGCTGGCCTGCGGCACTGGGCGGATATGCTGGCCAACCCCCGGCGACCCATTGCCCAGTGGCACTCGCTGCGGCCCCCCGACCGAGTGAGGCCACTGCCTGTACCCTGACCCCACCTTCAAACCCCTGACCCCATACTCCTGGCCAAAATCACACCCAGGCCCATTTTTAAGAGTTCTCTGATCACTACTGCCACCCCCCCCCCCCCCCCCCACACACACACTCTCTTCCATCCCCATCATGCCAATCATAATTTGCAACACTCCCACTGCACATACCCAGAAGCCCCAGGGACCCTTGGGGGAGGGGAGCAATTTGGCCTCCCTCCCCCTACCTAGGGTCCTGCCCTCTGCTTTGACAATCAGTGATCCCATCCTACTGTCCCCTTCGCCCTACTCAGGATCACCCACTCCTGTCCCCATTCTGATTCCTGCATTGCTCCTGGGGCCAAATAAATACTCAGCAACTTTGGTGGCCTAGCTGGGTGCTCCTTGTTGGCGGGGGGCAAGGGGGGCAGGGGCCTAAGCTGGAGCCTCACCTCCAGGGGTGTGATCACACAAGGGCAGACTTAGGGTAGCTCATCCTGGAAACACACTGAGGGAGACTCACCCACTTACACACCCACTCATCTGCTCATCCATCCAGCCTCTCACCCACTTACTCATCCATTCATTCCTTCATTTATTCATTCACTGGGCCCTCTGAGTGCTGTGAGGAGTTGCTGAGAGGTCACTTACTTATTTGTGAATTTATCATGACTTGTCTAAGGTCATGTGGCTGGGTGAGGAGAGGAGGCAGAGAGCCGAGACCCCTTGGGTGCTGCACTCTGTGCTGGATATTGGAGCTGATCTGGAGATGTGTCTCACTCAAGTCCCTGCCCTTGTGGAACTCAGGTTGTCACCTGGCCAAGAGCTCTAGGCCAGCAAGTGACAGGGTAAGATGTAAACCCAGGCATGTCTGACACCAAAAGCCACATTGTCAAGAATTATGCTGTCTGGTCCCCTGAAGATAAAATAGTGGGAATCACTACTGTTGTGGCCATCTTGCTGGGAAGGCAGGAGCAGAACTCAGAGGAAGATCTCCAGTTGGGGTTGAAAGGATGAGCTGGATTTTTCCAGGAGGAGAATGGGGAGGATGTTAGTGGAAACAATGCAAAGAATACAGACCTGGAGCCAAGAGAGGACTTGCTTCAGTGATGTGCCGTTACCAGCTTATGAAGCCCTGGTGTGTAGTTTGCCCATTTCCATGGTGTAAATACTCTCACTGTGGCTGATTGCAAACCACCACTGTGAAGTCACTGAATACAGAGCTGGGACGAGATGTCTACTAGTGCACCAACATAAAATATTTTCCAGTGTCAGGTCGAGGGTCCCAATATTTAAGGCAAAGCCCCCCAAAACCTCCAAAAAACAAAAAACTTAGTAATCAAGATAAATATTTTCATGCAATATTTTAAAAAATAAAATCAATGTTGGGCTGGCCAAGTGGAGCATTGGTTAAGTGTTGGCTTGGGATGCCATCTCTGAGCATCAGGGCCCCGGTTCGGATCCCACATGAGGGCCAGTGACGCTGAGCCCTCTACAGCTAAGATGGTGAACAACAGCTCAACCTGGAACTGGGCTGTCGTGAGTCGCCGGTGACAGTGGAAGCTGCAGCCCCTGCTGCAGTGGGCTGCCATGAGCTGCCGGCAGCTGCCGTGAGCTGCTGTGAGCCGCTGTGAGCAGGCC